CTATTTCATAACAGAAGATTTTGAGCCATGAAGATAGAAATCAAGTGTCTTGACATTTTAAAGCCCTCCCAGTTACTTGGTTAGGGTCTTCAGATGAAGCAGAATCCATACCTGATTCTAACATGAACTTCAACATCTCACTTTGTTCACTAAGATACTGTATATTTAACCATTTAATTCTTATTTCTACTTTTATTCAGTCCTAGCTCCAGATTTTTTTTAGGGCTCATTAACCTGTCCAAGGTACAAAAGATATAAATGGCCGGTAGTCTCTTTAGCAAGAGACTACCGGCAACCACCATTTGTATTAATTTATCTGTAAATTTTATTTTACTCTATTCCTGTTCCTAAATTGATAAAATTCCAACTTCAGCTGTGAGGTTGAACAAAAATATAAAAAACTCTGCTTGGAAGCAAAATTGTTTTAATTAACAGAAAAAAAGTCCAGTTTTATTGTTTTTAAACTCTTAATTCATCACTAAATTAAATTTCTTATTTATTTATTAACCTTTATTTAACCAGGCAAATCCCACTGAAATCAGAGATCTCTTTTGCAAGGGAAGCCTGGGCCTGAAGGCAACCTATTGTATGTTTTTTGGTCTGAAACCAGAAGGACCCCGGGTCCAAACCATGTATCAAACCCAGGACCTTGTTGCTGTGAGGCACCAGTACTAACCACTGAGCCATCGTGCTGCATTAAAAAGCCTATTATATTCATCAAATAATTGTTCTTTATCAAATCCAAATAAACCTTTGCAAAGGTTTCTCCATAAATCTACGCACCTCTTTCTTGATGGGAACTTGCCACAGAGGAATGGACAACTTGCGCAGCCTCACGCTTGGACACATGTCCGTTTGTGTTGTCGCTGTCTCGTAGCCAAGGGGAGCACACCAGTCATCAGGCACTGCTCAAACCAAAACACAGGAAGTTAATCTCTGAAAATTATTCAAAATTTTGGTTTAAACTTTTTTAAAGTGTTTTCTATGTGAATAGTAACTTGTTGAGAGAATATGTTTGTATTTAATTTAATAAACCCTTCATTCATAACCAAATAAGCTTTAATTAAAATTACTGAGTCTTTATGCAAGACACCCTCTTTAAAGTGGCTGCTTTTTGTTTACTTTTACAAACCAGGAATAAATCAAATTAAAAATATGAAAAGACATGTTACTTAAAGTAAAAAAAAAGCACCTCCAAATTCAACTTCAGGAAGCGATAAAGACTTTTCATCTGGGACTTTGGGCTTTTTGGAAGGTTGTTTGGCCTTTGCGCCTTTGGACTTCCCATACTCAAGGTCTTTAAGCTTTATCTCAGCTCTCTGCAGCTTTGTCTTGAGATGAGCAATTTCTTCTCCTTTCTGTGCCACCTCCATCTTATGATCATGTAGAGCGTTTTCGAAAACTTTCATTATTTCACAAAGAGTGGTCCTTAAAACCATGTCCATCGTCGTGGTCAGCTGGACCCTGACCCTTCTCAGAACGAACTCAGACATGATGGAAGCTGTCTGGAAGCAACTTTTAGATGCTTTTGGATAATGACGTGTCTTGTGCAGAAGATGTCGCTGTCCCCCTAAACACAAAGACAAAAATAATTACAAAAAAATTATAATCCAATGCAAATACAAATAATACACAATATACATAAGCTGAAGTATTCAATGAAGTTCAATACAGATGCGAATGAGAATACACAAAAATATAATGCAACGCTAAAACTATGAACTTCTTGATCAATACATTCATTCAAATGAAGTGTGTGCAGATGAACATCTCAAAGTTTACTTCTTTTCCCCTTAGTTAAAGGAGTATTTTTGTCCTTGATTAATCTAAACTGAATAAAACGTGTCATGTTTGATTAAAAGTCAGACATGAATTTGAAATGTTTCTCTGCTTTGACACATCTGATTAAATGAATGATGAGTGATTCATTAGGCTTCTGCAGGACTTGAAGGCATGTTTAATAAAACAAACAAAACATTCAGGATAGTGATGGCTGAAGACCAGGATTGGGTTCAGATTACACCCACATGCAAGATCACACACKTTTTTATTGCTTCTGTTATCTGGCGCTGCAAAAACTTGTAACTCTAGAGTCCTAAAATGCTAAAAGCTGCAGACATCTGTAGCTCTCCACGAAAAAAGAAGTCTTAATCCTACAATCTCTCTGCTTAACACTTATAATAATCATCATGCTTAACACTTATAAGCTGGGCCTGTCTTTGGCATAGTATCCATGGCTAAAACAAACACTTGGATAGGATGTAAATGTATTTTTTTTTCATTGCTGAAGGAACTGTTTCCCCTAATTATACACTAATAAAATGTATTTGCATAACAGTGATACGACTACGTGTTTTACTATGTGAAGCAACATTTTACTGCAAAGGTAAAAAGTTACATTTTGATTAAAGTTACTATCAAATTACTGAGTTGATTTGGTAAACTAAACGAACAAAAACCTATGTGGGAAAACAATTCAAACCTAAAACTTACTTGTTTTTTTATTACGGACAAAAAAAACAGCTATCGGTAATCTACATTTTTAACACTAGCATAGCTGAAACGTGGTAGCATTGATGCTAACGCAAACTATCCGTTACCCGACAGCTGACTTTGGTTCGACAGCCGCTCTGCCTCAGCGTCCTGAAGCCCCGAAAGTCGCCTCTCACATCAAGATATTCATCATTAACGATAAACGCAGCTGCCGTTTTAACTTTTAACTACCGGACATTAGCGGATCACGAGAGCTAGTCCGCCATTTTCACTCATGCGCCACAAGCCAGGAGGAAAGACGACACCGTGCAATAGCGTTTTTTTTTTTTTTTTTTTTACATACCCGTCTCATCGTGCTCTCATCTTCAATAAATCGCACCGATTTAATGTGTTTACAACGCTGAACTCGTTAAAGACATTACTGTTCTCTTCTATCCCTACCTGTTGTCACTCTGCTAGCAAAGCGGTGACCAAAAGCAACATGATCCTGAGGCTGAGCGAAGACATTTCGGATGCATAAACAAACCAGAGAACAGTCAAACAAAAAAACCTAACCTGGACGCCAGCTGCGTGAAGCCTGGTGTTATAATTCTCTCAGAAGTAACGAGGTTGCWGTACAAGTACACAAAAATACGCGGCAAAATAAAGGAAACTGTATTTCTTCTTCTTCTTTTATAAATTTTATTGGCGGATGGCAAACCAACTTCAGGTGTATTTARCGCCACCTACCGTACTGGAGTGTGGATATCAATGATGGAGGGAACTTAATTTACACACATCAATGCTGTGTGAGTGTGCTTCATACAAATCCTAAAGTATATTTATGCTCACATGCATACTTATGCATATTTTAAATACGATTAAATAACCTAGTTCTTTTTAAAAATCGAATTAATTGATTTCTTACTGATTTAGATTCAACGAAAATATTAAAGAAAATGATTTTTTTTCTCTCCGTTTAAAACTAACTTTAAATGTCGATGCTCCTCCGAAGCTCGGTCATCCGGGAGGGACTCGGAGTAGAGCCGCTGCTCCTCCARGTCGAGAGGAGCCAGTTGAGGTGGCTCGGGCATCTGGTAAGGATGCCTTCTGGACGCCTCCCTGGTGAGGTATTCCGGGCACGTCCCACCGGGAGGAGGCCCCGAGGAAGACCCAGGACACGCTGGAGGGACTATGTCTCTCGGCTGGCCTGGGAACACCTTGGAGTTCCCCCGGAGGAGCTGGAAGAAGTGGCTGGGGAGAGGGAGGTCCGGGCCTCCCTTCTGAAGCTGCTGCCCCCGTGACCCGACCCCGGATAGGCGGAAGAAAATGGATGGATGGATGGTCCTCCGAATATTTGACGCATTCCAACATGTTCCACCGTGTCAATCTGATTTCAAAAATCACAAGTCCGTTTCATGTTTTCCTACTCGAAGAAGAGAACCATTAAGGCCTGTATGACCAATTCTAAGGCGCGATATAATCACTTCTTCCCTCCTGCTTCTACTGCCCCCCAGTCTTTTGAATATTATATAAATGCCTGCCATTATCATAATCATCCCATTGTTCCTGCCACACATTTTTGATTTTGTTTGGGTTAGACTTTCCCTCTCCTTTGCTCAGAGGAATATTTAAGTTAATAAAATCTAGTTTCAGGGCTTGTTTAGCTAATAAATCTACTTCTTCATTTCCCTTTATTCCTACATGAGCAGGTATCCAGATAAATCGAACAGAACAGTTTTTATTACCGGTATGTATCTGGACCAATAAGTGATTTATATTAAACGATAAATCTAATCTACAAGATTGACCAGATTCTAAATTTAATAATGCAGCTAGACTATCTGATGCAACTATAGCTCTATTTATTTTCCTGATATTATTAGCAATCAACCATTTTAAAGCTAATATAATAGCAGGAAACTATTTCTTTTTATCAGCGCCTTATCTGATCTGCTTTCCCACCATGCATCACAGACATCACGTACGAACATGCTCCATTGCGATTGGATGAGTTTCATGTCACTCAAGGCAGAACCAGACCAAGCAACAGGTCCGTGTTTTGTACAATAACCAGCGCAGTACTTTTGCTATTAAAACAAATAACGAGATTGCCTTTTTACAAAATTGAACAATAGTTTTGCTGATTAGACCATTTATCATATCAGCTATGAAATTACATAATAAAACTGCCATTCATACAAAGAAAATAAAACGTTAAATCCTTGCTTCAGTTAGGTTAGGTGTAAATGTACGTGTTTTAAAAGTGGCTACATCCATTTGCTTAAGAACACTACAGTAAATACGCTGGGTAATTTTAACATACAGGTGTTTATAGGTCTGTCAAATAATATTTCAGACTAAAGCACTCTCCAACAGAAGTTTTCATACTATTAGCAAGACTATTTTGTTATAAACTTTTACAGGCTTTTTAAAAATCTGCAGTAAAAACGCCTTGGGTTTGATTAAAAGTAGATAATCAGTCTGTAAGTGCAGTGTTTACTCTAGTCAACCAAATAAAACATTTGTTTATGATATTCAGGGTTTAATTTATTCATTAAATAAAAGAAAAAAAAGGATCAGTGCAAAGCAAAAAGGTCAAATAACAGTATTTTGACTTGGATTATTAAACGGTTTTCATCATCATTTTATCAGTTTAAATCAGTGGTTCCCAAAGTTGGGGTTGGGACCCATAGTGGGGTCCTGAAACATCAATGTGGGGCCTTGAAAAGATTTTCAGAATTACAAATTTTAAAAATGATTTCTAACAACAATTTTTGCCTTAGTTTTTACAAGTGAGTGTGGTTAGTGTAATTAAATTAAAGTAGCATAACAAATATTTTTCTGATACCAATGTTCATTAACCAAAAAAAATAGTTGGGGTCACAGATCTCTGCCATTTTAGAGGTCAAAAGCTGACAAGTTTGGGACCCATTGGTTTAAAGTATGCTTGTATAAGCAGGAAACTGGAATGACTTTATTCCCCCTGTTTTCTAGAGCTTTGGTCTCCTTCTCAGGCAAACGTTCCATTGTTCCAGGCCACATTGGCTGCATCCATGTCCACAAAGTTTATATAAATCCTGAAACAGACACCAAGAGAAACAGGTTAACAGGAGCTAACATGAACAGAGGCACAGAAGTGTCTCAGCTACACAATCAAGCCAAATGACTGAAACATGCCTATATTGTTACCTGTCAGGAGAGACACCCAGGTGTTTGTTTAGCAGTCCACACAGGAGTTTAGAGTATTGCTTGTTGTGAGCCCCGCTGATTTTGCCGATGCTGTGAAGAGAGCAGAGCGCGCAGGGGTCTCCCTTCCCTCCAAACATCATCATTTGGTCTGGGTTGATGTGCACAGCAATGTACTGGTATAAAAAAATATATAAAAACAATTTAGACTAAACTGAGAGGTCCAGACAGTCAGTTCCAATATAAAAAGGTGCAGATGTTTTATTAAATTGTTTATTTAAATCAAAAACTCTTTTGTAACTTTTTATAATGAAATCATCCCAAGTGCTACAAATTATGTCCAAAATACTCTGGACACCTCAACTTTATATTTTTTTAAGCAACAGATCATTTTGAAGCTGTGGGTTTTTTTTATTTACATTTTTCATTATGTTTTTAACGCTATTTTCTATTACTTGTATTTTTATCCTTCTCTGTGTTACTGTATTTGTCCTCTGCTTCTTCTTTCCTATGAAAAACGCCGCAAAATGTACTATTTGCATAACTAAGGCCAGGCGTTTCCTGTTTGTTGTTGGGCACAAAATTCCTGTTTATTTCCAAGTTTTCAAATAGAAAAGTATGTAGATTTTAATGCTGCCTTGTTATTTATAATCACTAAGTTCAGAACATTAGTTTCGCACTTTTTTGTTTACGTAAACATCAGTAGGAGATACCGATAGTTGCGCTCAGTGATGCACGTGAAGAATGTTRGCTCCACGGCCTACCTGCGCAGGTTTGCCCATAGCTTTGGCTAGCTCCTCCGTGGCCTCCGACAGCAGAGCCGCAGGCACGTCGCTTTTAGCCACGTTGGTGTTCACCACGAACATCGGCATGATTATTGCTAATTTATCGATCCTGCTGAAGCTATGCGGACGCTCTCGCTCTGCTCACAGGCGACAGAAAAGACGCGCGAGGAGGAACTCCACTTCCTCTCTCGTAGCTTAAACAAGTTGCTCACAGCGCCACCTGCCGTCATGGAGAACACGTGGTAAATCTGTGTATTGGTAAATCTGTCGTCAAATGAGCTGCCATCATCGATCTACATTGGCTGCCATCTAAACGGTTTTATGAAAGAAAAAGTCATCCGGAATCCAATTCATCGTAAGAAAATGTGCCACGAACAGTTTTCATAAGAAATATGGCAATTTACTTGTATTTTCTCACAGATTAAATGACTACACGAGGTGTAATCTTTAAAATATAATCCCTCCGAATGAAATACAATCCTTCCAAGGGAAAAATCAGAGTAGCAAAGACAAAATGCTTTTAAATTATTATTTATGTACATTACAGAATACTACCTGTGCTATCGTTTTTAATATTACCCTTTTGACAACTTSTATGAAGGCAGAAACAACTTTTCAGTGTCAAGCTTTAGGAGTTATATCACTGTCATCACATTTACATGAGTAAACATTTACAATATATGGGTTTTATTGTGTTTACAAATTACCTTTTTTTACCATCTCGTTGCTAAAACAATACTTGGACATTAAAAACCACATGAATAATCAGGAAAACTAGACACACAAAATCAACAGGAACAATCCAAAACCCTTAATTTGCTTTTCATATTTGATCATTGATTGCAGTGTTTCCCAAAGTTGGGGTCGGGACCCAAAGTGGGGTCCTGAAACATCAAGGTGGGGTCCTGACAAGATTTTCTGAATTAATTACGTTTTTTGCCTTAGTTGTTACAAAGGAGTGAGTTTAGTATATTTAAAATGGATAAATGTAGTACAAAAATATTGTTACTGTGCCCATGTTTAGTTGACCTGATACAAATGTTTATCATCCAAAAATAGCTGGGGACACACGTCTCTGCTACTGTTATTTTGTGGGTCAAAAGCTGAAAGTTTTGGGAACCACTGGACTTTGGTTCCCAAAGTTGGGCTTGGGACCCAATTATGGGTCATGAAGCACCTTGGATAATCTCCAGYAATCAATTTAAAGGGTAATAAAATAAMTGCTGATGTAATATTTTCCATATAATTATTACAAAAACACAAAATAAYTATAAATAAGTATTTATATTTGTGTACAAGCTGTTTAGATTGTCAAAAAGCCTGTGTTTTAAGGGTTATTAACGAAGTTCATGTACTCAGACCAGTAATATTTGGGGTCACAAGTTTTTGCCATGAATATTTTGTGGGTCAGAAGATTAAAAAGTTTGGGAACCACTGATTTATTGTATTARGTTTTATAACGGTACAGTCACGTTACAGTATGGTAAGAAGTTACATCATTTGTTGAAGCGTTGAAATAGAGGCCCCTTTTTTTTCAGCGTGCGGATGCGCGTCCTATTAGGGTATTACGGTACGGAGCATGCGCAGTTCACTCCCAGCAGCAGCAGCGAAGGAAAGGAGTCGAGGGAGGAAAACATCGGCAGCAGGAGGCAGGGAGAGAAAGGGCTGAAGTTGCTCGACGCTTTCCTTTTGTCGCCTCTTTCCCAGCGCTTACATGACGTAAAGCTCCTCCGAAATCAGTTAAATCAASTCGTGTGTCTTCGGTCTGCACCGAGAAAGTTACTCCTCTGGAAAGAATCTGTGAAAAAGGTGCGTATACGGAGCTAAATTAGCAAGGCGGCTAGCWCTTTTCAGCGTTACGGAGAACGATTTTTACATGTCGATCAGCGCTACAAGTTTACCAACAAGCTGACGAAGAATTGTGTGTGTGTTAAACTGCATTATGGCCGTGATTGTGATTAAGAAAGTGTTGTATTGCAATTAATGCTACAAATTCTTTACAAAATAGTAGCAAGCTAACACACTAATAACGGATATTAATTTATATTTTTGTACATTGCATATCAAGCCCGGTATTAGAGCTGGGTTAAAATGTTATATAAATTCTGCCCGTGCACGGTTAATTATCATCCAGTGTCCATCAGATCCGCAGCTGTCCGAGCCTGCAAGGCGGGAGGATGATGGAGGAGTCGGTGAGCGCTTTTGAGACGCATCTGACGGCGGTCATGGACAGTCTGATCCGCGCTTCGGTCTGCGAGATCACCAAACTCTTCCAGGAGACCGTCAGCGACTACCTGGTGGAGCTGTCCCTCAACAGGAAGGAGAACGAGGCGCTCAAACTGCGCCTGAAGCTCACGGAGGGCAAGCTGAGGACCGAGCGCAAGTACGGGCTGGGCTGGGCGGCCAACCGCCGCAGCGCCGGGCTGGAGGAGGGAGCTGCGGGCCGGCAGAGGAGAAAAGTTGACTTGGCTCGTGAGTGTTTTTTTTTTTATCAGGTGGAGTTTAAGGTGTAACTTAAATACCGCCTTATCCACTCATGTCTGTGTGCTGTTCTGAAGAGAAAAGGTTTTCTGTGTGCAGTCACTGACACACTTGTTTTGTTGGAAACCATCTGGCAAGAGCTGATCTCTCCCTTCCTCCTCCGCCTCCTCCTCATGATCTCTCCCTCTGTCCTTCACCTCCCCCTCTCCTTCTCTTTCCACTGCATTCTGTCCCTCCCACTCTTCTYTGCTTGTGCTCCCTTCCTGCCTAACTCCTCTCCCTCCCCCACCTCCTTCTGTCACTTATCAACTCCCTCCTCCCCTTCCTGCTCCTCTCTCTCTCGCTTCTCCTTCACGCTCTCTCCTCCTTTCCTCTTCTCCCTGCCCCCACCTCCTCTTCCTGTTCTGTTCTCTCCTTCATCACGTTGCACACACACACACTCCCCCGCCTCCTTTCGTCTCCTGCTTCTCTCTCTCTCTCTCTCTCCATAATTGCACACTCTTTAATTCAACTTCTCCCCGCTTTTTCCCCAATTCTTCATCCTGCCCTCGTTTGCTCTCCTTCAACATGTCCTCCCTCTTCCTCATCAACTTCACGTCCTCGTCTCCTCTCTCATATCGGTCACATGTTTCTCCTTCCCTCTCTCCTCTTGTGTCCTTCTACGCCCCCTCTCCTCACTCGTTCGCGGTGCTCCCTCCTCTGCTTGATTTCTTCTCTCCTTCACCCCTCTAATCCTCTCCAATCTCCTCATCTCCCACCTCCCCACCCTCTTCTCTCCTTCATCCTTCACTCCTTGCCTCGCAATCATCTCCTCCCACTCATCTCTCTCCCCCTCATATTTCATCTGCTGTCTCCCCGTGCCCTCTGTCTCTCCTCCTCCCTCCCACCATCCTTCACCGCCRTCCCTTCTCTTCAGGAGGCAAGTCGAAAAAGAGCCCAGCGGCAGCCCATGGCAAAGGCTGGCCCGGAGGTGTGTGGGAAGAAGGAGAAGGCGTCGGTGGTGGTGGGGGAGGAGGAGGAGGCGGTGGCAGCGGAGGAGCTCTGGGCTTGGGAGCAGGAGGAAGAGGGGGGAAAGAGGCCTACATCATCCAGTTCCCCCGGGAAGAAGAAGAAGAAGAAGAAGACGAGGAGGAGGAGGAGGAGGAGGAGGAGGAGGGAGGGATGGTAGATGACGAGGACGGGGAGGGCAGCCTCAGCGGTGAGGGGGAGGAGACGGCCAACATCAAAGAGGAGGTGAGGGAGACAGGTTTTCTCCGAGGAGGTGTAGGAGGAGAAAGTGGCACAGCATCTCTGCGCTGCTTATCAGCTTCACGGGAAAAGCTGTTGACAGAAACGGYGAGGTTTTACAGAAAGACGGCGAGAGTTTAATTTTTCAGCCGTTAAATCACTGCAGAGGAGTCGAGGATGGAGGGAAGGATGTTGATTTAAGCCAATAGGAACTTGTTGAGTTCAGAACAGATCGCAAGCATTTTGGTGYAAATACCTCTAGGGGACGTGAAAAGACGCGGCACATTAAACCACATAAGTTTGCACATTTGAATCTCAGTTAATTTTCATAACTCTTTTACTTAAAACTGGTGTCTGAAAAGCGGGTCATCCTGGACAGATCCAGGACCCTCCCAGGGCCATATAGAGACAAATAAGACAGAAGTGTTTTTGCACAAACACTCACTCACTGACCATTTAAAGAAACATGTATGTTTTTAGACTGTGAGAAGAACCCAGGTAGAAGTGTCATGCCCAGCCCATGCAAGCTTATARGACACTATCAATATTAGCAAAACATTAATCAGTACAACATATTAATGTCAACACAGGACACAATGCTGTTTCTCTAACCACCTGTGTCCTCTCTTTACATTTGACCAAACTCAAAATATCGCCTCCCAACCACCAAAATAAATCAGGGTTTTTGCACTGGAACTTAGACATTCTCAAATCATACAAAATACAATAAAAAAACAAAATTAAATTCATCTTCAACATACAAACTCCATACAGAACGGCTGCAGCTGGTAGTCGAGCCTCTGACATGTTTTTCTGCGATTCAACAGTGCGCACCCCCACCCCCCTAAAAAAATAAATTTAAAAAAATAAAAATAAAAAAACACACACACAGACCATTTGACTATCTTTACGGGGACCTGGCATTGACTTCCACTAACCCTAACCCTAAATGTAACCTCACAGTGACCCTAAAACTAACCTAAACTCAATTCACAACTTAGTCCTAAACTTAACCCACGACCCACCAACGCCAGTTCAGACTCAGGTTCATATAAGTACCAGTCAGGTCCCATAAGTAACATTAGGTCCCCACAAGTAGGTGTATAATCCAAAAAAAACCTGTCGCACAACGTAGGGAATACCACTCCACACACACACACATGCATCTATGCTGCTGTACATGTAACACAGGGAGGTACTTGTACTYCCATTTAAAATCCCTCAGAGTTGGTTTAAAAAGTGAAATTAGGGAAATAAAAGCAGTCATAAMGTTTGGTAGAACTCCTTTTAGACACTTGCCAAATGCTTGAAGTGGTGCACAAGACMTTGAGTTAAAACCGATGTTACTGAGAACCACTGAGTGAAGATGTTAAAGGAACATTCTGATTTCTTCTAAAATTGYGTTTTGTGAAAGACGTGAGCTGTCAGTACTAATTCAGTAGACAATAATCAGTTTAGTTGTTTGTTTGTTTGCTTTTTCTGTGGGGTGGGGGGTTGTGAAGCTCAATTTGCAATGAGGGAACCAAAAATGAAGCAACTAGAAGCAATTTTTGCCGTCTAAAATGAGCTCAAGACTCAAAAACGTTGAAGTGACTCAAGCTAGATTGTGTAACCTTTGTGTCACAGCTTAACAGGGCATTTTTTTATTCTGGCCTCGTTGCAAAATGTGAGGTCTACAGAGTAACAGATTCAAAGTTACATGATGTAAATTACTTCACTAAAACTGGATCAGATTTTTATGTTTGAGTTGTTTGATGYGAGGAAACTTGTTTTTGTTTTCTGATATCATCTTGGACTCAGTTGTTTGCTCTGTTTTTGTGTGCAGTTTTCTCAAGCTGAGGGCTATCAGCCAGCTTCTCTGCGGCTAATTAAGGAGGCTCTGAAGATGAATCCACCCATCCAGAACTTCCACGTTGGTTCCAAATCCCAGAGTGACGGTAATAATGTCAGGACTCCTGACTGAAGGAGGGTTAGGGGGAGGAAAAAAAAGTTCGGACACAAGTAGTGATTGCTCACACAAACTCTCCTTCTCCATTTCCAGACTTGTCAGGTTGTCCCCCGGCCCTTCACCCCAGTCAGAGAGGTGAGAAGGACTGGGTTATGGGTCATGCAGAAACACCAGARGAGGCCATGGCAGTGGATGAGCTGCGGGGTCTGGAATCGGCTCTAAAACCTGAGCGAGACTGTGAGGAGGGACCCAGGACGGCTACGCAGCGTGAGTCAGAGGTGGGACGAGGGAGCGAGGTCGGCCTGGCTCCAAAGTACATTGGTCTGGATGGAWTGGAGCAGGAAGAGGAGCTGGACCCCCAGCCCCCGACTCTGCAGAGGGAGGAGGAGATGGGCCAGGGCAGGGTGAAGGATGCTGCGAGGCCTGGAGGAGCTGGAGTGGTGGAGCTGAGGATGGGCTGGTCCAAGAAGCTGAGGGAGGAGGAGTCAGCTGCAGTGAAGCCAGGAGATGGCGCCGTGGAGCAGGCAGAGTCCGAGCACCTGCCCCGCCTGTCGGCTCCTGGGAGCGTCTGTGAGAGCGGGGGAGAAGAGGAGGGGGGGGCCGACCTGCTCCACTTCTGCCCTCAGTGCGGAGGAGGCTTCACCTCAGACGCCGAGCTGGACGAYCACCCCTGCCCGCTGGGCGGCGCCCACATGCAGGGCGGCGAGTCGGAGGACAGCCTGTTCCCCTGCGCCCACTGCGGGAACACCTTCAGCCACCCCTGGGCCCTGAAGAACCACGAGTGCGCCTGCGCCGCCGAGAGACCCCACTGCTGCGAGATCTGCGGGAAGCGCTTCACGCACTCACGCTCGCTGGAGCGCCACCACCTGGTGCACACGGGCGAGAGGCCGCACCGCTGCCCGCAGTGCGGACGCTGCTTCAGCCGCCTCGGCAACCTGGAGCGTCACCAGCGGATCCACACGGGGGAGCGCCCGTACGGGTGCGACGCCTGCGGCAAGCGCTTCAGCCGCGTGGAGTACCTGAAGAGACACCAGCTCATCCACAGCGTCGACAAGGCCACGCTGCAGTGCTCCAACTGTGGGCGGGGCTTCTGTGACGTGGAGCTGCTGAAGAACCACCAGTGCTTCGACAATCCATGCTAGAACTCCAGAACTACGTCTCGATGCAGGATTTACCTGATGAATGTGGCTCGTAAACTCTTTATTCTCAGCGAGCGTCTTTTAGGTGATGAAACACGTTGATTTTTTGCAGGAAGAATTCAACTGTAAATCTAACTTTATAGGAAGAGAGTTAAAATRCTCGGTTATTTCTTTGTGAAGACGTGTAAAAGCCTGAACTTATTTATGGATGAAGACTACATTGTGACTTTTTATCATTTTAGAAATATTATCTGGTATTCAACCTTTTCTCTGACAGAACAGTTAATGGATTTATTATACGTTTTTATTTTGTCTGTGTTTTGGTCAGTGTAACAAAAATAAACACTTGAGTTCATCCTGAATGATCCATGTTTTTGTGTTTTCTGTGATTTAGTACGTAGTCACATTTATTTTGAAGAGTTTTGTATTAAACTTATCATAAAGATGCATTTTCAGACGTGGTTGTGTGAATGCTGAATCAGCTGCTTTTAGGAACTGGGTTTCAGCTTTGGCAGCACGCAAACGTTTCTGGACATTTTAGTGCTTATTCAAGAACTAACACTTTCTTCTGTTTTTACATGAATAAATTCAAGTGAACCAACAAGACTCGTCGTTCTTCCACTGTTGAAGTGATTTTTGTTGTGTGACTTTTGCAGAAGTTAACCTTTAGTGTTGAATGTTCAGTGCAGTCTTATGATAACCAGCTACTGCAGATCAGGCTCACTAGGTGTCGCTCTTGTGATGTTTGTAATCCCCTCAGCAGTTTTTTTTTATTGTTAACATTTTTTTTTTTGTCAGGATGGGAGTCATGCAGTCTGCTGCTGTTCTCTGGTTCAAGTTAGAAACTGATTTTGTTTTTTCAGAAGATGTTACGAGTCCCCTTGTAGTCCCTAATCTGTGAAAAGTTAAGTATAACTTGATATGTTCAGGATTTCTTTGACTCACTGATGGACTCAACCCTTAAAGCACAATAGAAGCAATCAGGTTTGAGAACAGAACTTTGAAGCTACTTTTATCCAGGTATTTGTGGAAGGGAAAAAACAGCTCTGCAGAGCAGAAAYGCAGGTGAAGAAGATGGGATGGATGATTCAGGAGGATGCAGGTAGAAAACTAAAATACTTGTTTTAGGAAAGATTCTGGTGTTAAAAATTCTTATTTAAAAAAAGTGTAAAATTTTCAAGCACAGCATAAAAATACTAAACGAATGTGAGCTTCACCATATCAACAAACTAGTTATTCTACATTACAGCTAAACAGCTGAAACGGTTCTCACAAGAAGTAATACTTTGTTTCATAAAATTACCAACCCCAAAGCTTTAAGACAGAAAAATTAATCATATCATGATTTATTAAGTTATATAAACACAATATGTCCGGACAACATAAAACAAGCTTCAGTTTTGAGTAAAACTTTATTGCTGAGTTAAAGCTGCAGCACTACATGCAGTTGAGTTAAATCTCARTGGTTTTCAAACAAGCTGATTTCCATTTTCAGCCTCTCCTCTAAAATGTTTTCTAGTTCCTGTAAGGACATCTTAACATCAAAACCTGTTTCTTTTATTACAATTGTGTTGTCACTGTTTTCACCTCTGAAAAAGACACAAAAACACTTTTATCTGTGGTTCYTGGATCATTTTGAGTTGTGTTCACTAATGTCACATCACACATTCTGGTTTGATTATAGGCCTGTGTAGCTTAGCAGCAGCAGAGATGCAGATTATGTCTGTGTTTCTAGTGTGTTGAGGTAACTTAAACGGCTTAAGGCAGAGGTGCTCAAAGTGGGGCCCACGGGCCAAAATTGGCCCACCAAGCCATTTGATTTGGCCCACCAGCAGTTGTCGTGGTTATTAGATTGTAATCTCTTGTCCTATAAAGAAACACTATATTTCCACCTTTCAACCATTGGTTCAACTATACGCACAAGGAGCTGAAGTCAGAGAGTCTTAACTCAGGTTACTCACTTTATCTTTGGATTATGTTAAGATTAAACATTAAATACAAGTAACTACAAGAGACCTTTAGATTAGATTTCACCTTACATGACCACATATACTCAAATTTTAAATTGTGAAAAGTTCCATGAGCCTTTGCTGCCTGAGCATACGTTGAATTTTCTCCGTGTCTGTGGGCTGAAAAAAAAAGAAAAGAATGTGGACAACTGAACTGGCTGCTAGCTTATTCATAAAATAAAACAACTTTACTTAATGAGTATTTGCATTTCATGTATTACATTACTGTATTTGCCCGCAGCCCTCAGATTGATTTTAATTTTGGCCCTCTCAGGGAAAATGTTTGGGCACCCCTGGTTTAAGGCAATCGGTTTCTTCAAATGAACGGAGTAGCTAAAGTTGTGACAACTAGAATGTTATAATTTCATTAGAGGAATAAAACTGAGTAACATAAGCTAAATTGGATAATCTTTCAATAAATTTTACCATCTAAGTTAGTCTGACTCAATGCAGATGAGTACCATCGACACATTTTAAATTGATTAAAGT